CTCTACTCTCCGATGTTGGTCTCTGGGCTTCCTCGCTTTTCTGAGACTTGCTGGTGCGCTCCGCATCCTGCGCAATGTCGCTTTTTAATTTCAGGCACCCAGAGCTTTCTCTAACTTCTAACAGTTTTTTTCGGTTGTGTAAGTTTCTTCAACTTTGGGAAAACCTTCCACTGCTTTCTCTCTGGCGTCAATAGTCTAAAGTCAAAAGCAGTTAATTGCGTTGCGGGCCTTTAACCTTCAAAATTCTTTTGAGTTAAAATTAAATTGCAATCTACATTTTACTAATTAGAAGAAATCTGATTCGGAAATTAAAATTTACACAGAAAAAATTCCTGTTTGCCAGTCTTTAAATGAAATGCAATTAGGGTGCATATTGGCAGTTGCTTTCAGTACAATTACATAGTTTCCAGTTGGCCGCAGCATGTCAATCACAAATTTTAGAGATAAAATCAAGAACCTCAGAAATCTTTTCCAGTTAAATTTTAAATTGGGTTGCAATATTTGTAGTCATACTTTTTTGTTTTCAGTCCATTCGAACTTTAAATAACCTTATTTAGCCACTTGCTAATAGTGGGGGTATTGCTAGATGAGCAACCATTTGTTAAAAGTGGTATTCCGACGGTACATTGCTCCACAATTTTCTGGTCTTGTCAAAATTTTACAACAATTTGTTAACTGCTTCCGAATTACTTCAAGAAATTAAGCTTAGGTACCATTTTGTTAAGATAAGGCAATAGGCAAAGATATACTATTATTTGCAGTTAACAACACAACTTCCCCCACTTATTAAGATTCTTGATCACTTTAAATTAAGTTGTCCTCAGTTATGATATTCATACCTTTTTCACGATTCCCCTAAATTCAATAATAATAAAAATTTAGATCTTAAGTCTAATATTTTGTTCAAGAAGCCGCCAGTGCCATGTAATTGGATTTTTATTCTGTAATGGTTTCTGGTTAAATAAATAATAAATAAAATAAATATTCTGTACTGACAAACTTAGGCAAAGGTTTTGCTAAAATTTTAAGACAATTCAATTTCTTGAACCCCTAGCAATAGTAAAAGTGCTGTTGTCTTAGCAAGTGTATTTCACCCCGTTCAAAATTGGCAGGTGGATGGTTTGGAAACGATTTTTTTAAAACGCTTCAATTCTTTCCCATATTCATCTAGTTTTTTTAATATTGTTTGGAGAGTTTTTTTCATTTAGGGTTGCGCCCAATTACAGAATGACCCGCAAAATGCTTTTTAGTGTTTAGAGGTGGCCTCTGCAGAAGGTCTTAAGTTGTTTCTATATTACTGCCCTGCTCGAAACTGGTAATTCCATCTTCTGCCTCAGATTGAAAAATTCACCTCAACCACAGGTTCGAACACACCGACCTCCTCCGGATTATAGCCCAAACGGCGCTACTCTTGAAACCACAAAAGTCGGCCGTTCATAACTAATATGTCCATTTTTAGCCATTTTCCCCAACGAGTACTGCAGCCACTTTCTCTGTCCGTCTGTCTTGTCGAGGCTTAACTACTCCTACATGGTTTTCAAGATATTTAGTTCGTTCTTTTTTGCATTCGGTAGCGGTATCGCTTCTGCACCTGCGCCAAGGTCTTGACGATTAAACTGCGAATGTAAATTTTCCTATTTAATTGAGATATTTTTTTGGTAACTTTAAACCATAGATGTCCCTAGTTAAAGAATAAACATATCACATATTGTACATCAGATGTACTCATGCGCAGATTGCGCAACTTAATTTCCTTATTTTTATAGAATAATTTTTTTTTGAAAATTTTAAATAACAGATGCTTCTAGGAAAGATAACCGTGACGGGCACCTGAACCATGAAAAATCTTTGGACTGCTCATGCGCGTTATGTCCGTTTGTGATCTTTTTGGGAACCTACTGATCAATACATGAAAAATGCGCTCAAAGTTTTAATCTTAATCTTTATTATGTCAGAGTTACTCGTCTTTACGGTGAAAAACTTAGAAATGGAAACTGAATTGAGAACCAGAATCCTACTCAGTTTTTCTTTGCTCTTTTTCGTTTTTTTATTGGAAGTTGAAGGACGCAGCCGGCAAACAACTGTCCTTGATAATTGATAAAATATTACTCTATGATTGCCTCGGTAGATTATAATTTTAAATAAGGTGTCGAAATTGAAGGCAGTACGAGTGGCGGTGGGCGGTTAATTTAGGCACCTACTGTGATAAAAGGAGGGGTGGTTTTTAGAAATAAAAATAAAAATCATTACGGCGGACTGGGTAACTGCGGGCCAGGTGGAATTGCATAGGTTACGGGCCATTAAAGTATTAGTGTAGTAATGATGGTGGCGCGGGGGGGGGTTTAGCTCTGAGGTGCACCAAAACATTTTAGTACAAGTACTCCTTTCTCGAAAATAAATTACCATACAGTTTTTTTTAAAATTGCAGCTGATAATTAAAAGTAACAAAATATACAATCCACACGAGGTGCGTCGCCTATCATTGTATTTCAGCACTTTCATGCTACGACAAAAAATTATAAATTCATTGTAAAACACTTCAATTAAAACAGAATTTTTTAACAACCTAACATCAACCCCAATTAGAGAAACGTGTTAATAATTTTGAGCCCCGAAAAAAAAATTGTCTCAGATCGACCCGGAAAAAAAATTTTCTTATAGAATGTGGCCTGTAGAATCCATAATTTCAAACAATTCCAAGATTAGGCTACTAGTTCAAAAGTTACAGCCCTTTGAATTTTTTTCGAAATTGGTTTCTAGTCTATAACTTTTGATTGAGAAGTCTGATCGAAAAAGTACGAATTGTTTTGGATTCTACGCACCAAAATTAATAAGAAAAAGTGTTTTCCCGAGAAATTTTGGTGTAGTCGATTTTTGGTAAAAAAGGAAGGTTATACACTGCCTTTTTTTGAGCCCCGAAAAAAAAATTGTCTCAGATCGACCCGGAAAAAAAAATTTTCTTATAGAATGTGGCCTGTAGAATCCATAATTTCAAACAGTTCCAAGATTGGGCTACTAGTTCAAAAGTTACAGCCCTTTGAATTTTTTTCGAAATTGGTTTCTAGTCTATAACTTTTGATTGAGAAGTCTGATCGAAAAAGTACGAATTGTTTTGGATTCTACGCACCCAAAATTAATAAGAAAAAGTGTTTTCCCGAGAAATTTTGGTGTAGTCGATTTTTGGTAAAAAAGGAAGGTAATACACTGCCTTTTTTTGAGCCCCGAAGAAAAAATTGTCTCAGATCGACCCGGAAAAAAAGTTTTCTTATAGAAAATTACCATACAGTTTTTTTTTTAATTGCAGCTGATAATTAAAAGTAACAAAATATACAATCCACACGAGGTGCGTCGCCTATCATTGTATTTCAGCACTTTCATGCTACGACAAAAAATGATAAATTCAAAACACTTCAATTAAAACAGATTTTTTTAACAACCTAATATCAACCCCAATTAGAGAAACTTAATAATTTATTAATAGTGCAAGAAACTAAATACAGCACATACTTATAAATTTCCAACGGGCCATTATGATCTACAGGCCAGGTGGCAACCGCCCCCCCCCCCCCCGGGTCAGTCCGCCCCTGTTCTTAACTAATTGAAAATGAGACAATTTCTAATACAAGAACGCGTAAAGTGTCATACAAAATAAATCGCGCACGTATGAAACAAAGCACCCGCTTGAAAATTGCCAGTTTCAGTGATCACTCTGTAGATGAACACCTGGTATCTAGAAGTCATTAATGTTGATCGCTTCGTTAAATAAAGTGTCGCGTCGAAAGTACTAGTGTCGGTTCTAGGTAATTGTAATCTTAAAAGTAATTGATTTAATTTCTAGCGTTCAGTTTTATGCAATTAATTCGCCGTTTGTGACCGTTCCCGTCAAGATATTTATTTATTTATTTATTGTCCCTCTCTTATTCTGGGCCTTGTGCCCAACTACAGAGTGACCCGCATAATGCTTTTTTAGAGGTGCCCCTGCAGAAGGGGTCACAAATTGTTCTACACTACTCAGGTACGAATTAGGAAAACCGCAGGAAAACCTAATTCGGAGTAGCCGGCAAAATGATCGAAAATGATCTAAGAAAATTTCCATCTCTGCCACAGATGAAAAATTCTTATCCTAACGTTCTACCACTGAGACACATTGTTGTGCCCGAAAGCCCTCGCCATTAAGAAAAATTTCAGACACGTTGAGCCATTATTAGCAAAGTTTTGTTGCCTACGGTAATTTAAAGCGAGCAAGGTCGCGTGCAGTTTAAGGAAAATATCGACGTGATAACAGATTTCGCCGCTTAACCGCAGATTTCATGCAACAAAACGCACATTGCTGGCCTGCCGAATTTGGAGATTTCATTCCGGCTATTTGGATAAATGCAATTAAGCGTAATTAGTTGAATGGGTTACAGAAACAGCCTCCGATTTGGTCAAGATTACATCCGTTACATGCGCCCTTAAAAAAATTGAATTTTAACATCGGTCCCGTATTTTGAAAGGGGAAAACCGTAATTAATTATTTTTATATTATTTATTATTATTATATTATTTATTATTATTATTTTTTTATTATTTTTAATTATCATGCGTTATTGCAAGGACACGTCGTCGAGCAGGTAAAACCCATTTTCCCTTCAGAGTTTAGGCGAATTAACGCTTAATTTTCAGAGGATCTTTTGCCTATTGCACCTTTGCATGTTACGTTGGGGGTTGTGCGCAGGTGCACCATCCTGTTGGAACAAAATCGTTCTCGTTTTTCTGGGATATCTTCAGTTTACTGAGAATTTTCTGGATTTCTTTACAGCACGATAATAATCCTTATCTTTGACACAGTGTATATGATGACAACAATTACAATGACACTGAATTAATTGTGATGTATTCCCGGTCTTAAAGTTGGTGTAACACTGACCAATAAGAAACAAGGGATGGTTTTGTAAAATCTTCAAGGCTTTAATTTTTTAACCAAGGAAAACATGATAACAGACAACGGCTTATAAACTACCCTATCAGATAACTAACAATATTCCATGAAATGTCAGGGGAAATGTACGAATAATTTTGATTTTTGGAACAACTAACACTATCTTAGCCAAAACTAACCAAAAAACGGACGAATTCATTCATTATAAATTGACTAAATAGGTGCAATTTCCATCAGGTTCGCGACCATCCGGATTGACAGGCAGAGACTACCATTTCCTTTGCAGTTGCAGAGATGTATAAATCAAGACACCTGCAAAACAAAAGAGCTCTAAAACAAGATTAGAAAACGGGCACAAGAAATTGATAATTAATACAGGAGAAAAGGTAAAAATGATAAGTGAGGATTCAAATTATTTGAAACAGCCATTTTTCACCTCCACTGTACAAGTAAAGCAAACGATTACGGCTTTATAAATATATAAACCAACTCCCCAGTGTAATATAAACATCACGTCCTGTGTTAGTTTATAAACAAAAGTTATCAAAAACAACCGCCATCGTGAAACAAGAGGTCACAAGTTGTGATAACCTAATTTGGGACGACGAGAGAATATTAACATCACTACTGGCAAAAAATGATATTTATATTGCCGATATTTCAGGTATAGTACGCCTTTGACTAAAATTGCAATATGTAGGTAGCCAGACGTCGGCTTATGTTTCAGAACTGGCGCCATGTGCGATAAAGACATAAATTCTTTATTTTCAACGCAAGGACGCCGCTATCAGCAGGTGTTGAAGTTCATTTTTTTCAGGGTTTAAGATTCCGCTTCGTCCTCTCTTGTGGCATTTGCATAAATGCAGCAGAAGTAAAAAAAATGCATATTGTTGTCCGCGTCTGAAGGTCTTGCATATTTACTGCATGCATATGTGTAATAATTGGCGCCAAAATAGTCTTATAAACTCATGGCCGACACGATGACGGTTAAAAATAAACATTTATAGAACGTATTGTCTTCTCCAAAACAAACTGGCGCCTGGCGCTTAAACTGTGACGCCGCCTTGAATATGTGACGGTAAACTTTTAATACTTCGCATTCCCATACTCTAGTTCCTTTTTCAAGCTAAATTAGACTTTACAGCTAACAAATTACAAAAGAATTCCAAATTTGCATGCCGAATACTCGCACAATCCTAACGGGACATTTTTTCGCCATTGTTTTAATTGTACGTGCCGAAATGAGCTAAATTTTTGATTAGCTATTGTTACGCTACCGCGTGCCCGCCGCCGTCGCCGACGTGAATTATCCGACGGGTAAATGTCTGATGTCGGGCGCCAGGGTGACAGCCACCATGTCGCACACCTGCCCAAGGCGTTAAAAAGGGCCCCGTTCGTTGCTCGCTATTTGTTTTGTACATTGTCAATATTCAGCACGTAATCTTCGAGGGGAACGATTTTACGTTAAACAATTAATTCGATCGCATTTAGTGGCGCCCGCCTATTTATAATTATAGTAGCTACCTACGCCCTACCTACACAGAACAGATTCGAAATTTGGGTCGACTTTTAGTTGTAGGGCTCCGGGGAAATTCTACCGAATATTTCTTTTATTTTCTACTTCCACACACGTAAGAACTATTGGGACATCTTCAGAACTAGCCAATTTTCTACAAGAAAATGTCGGTTATTTTATATTCCCAACAGTCCATAGTTTTCTTATTAGCGCATTTTCCATAACTCATTCTGGAATGCCACTAACTATCATGGCCATTTTTTCCGTCCGTCTCTTACAGTTTTGAAGATATTTTGGGGCCTATTCTCTAACGCATAACAATGTCGTTACATAGCGGTTATCGTTCGGCAACGACTTTCTCTATTTGCATGACATAGCATATAATAGTGATACCATTGCATAAAAACACTAACTAGCATATTTTGTGATGGTAATATTATAGAGTAGGTATACAATAATTATATTGGTCTCAAATAACATTTTTACACCAAAATGTTAAACATTTAATAACAAACCTTTTTTCTGATTCTGAATAAACAATTTTTAACAACAAGCATCATATTGTTCCATACATCATGGTGCTCGTAAGGAAAAATGCTACTCAATACAGTAAGTACTTTTTTCCCGTACATATAAAAATATGAAGTTGATGATGGATTCTCAAAGCGCCATCTTGTAGAGCTTAAAAAATTTCTACGAGGAAGTTGTTTTCCTTCATTCGCCTAGTGTGTGAAATGTGCACTTATTAAAATTTTCCCCCTGCGGATTACCTCCGGAAAGGGGTAGGGTCCCTAAGTTTTGGGAGGACTTGGTAGATTTTTAGTGCCAAGATAAAGTTTCATGGACATTCACAAACATTTTTTTTTGGTAAAGACTCTCATCTTGACTTTTGCCTTACATTTTTAAAAGCTACCATGCGCAGTACATTTCAAGAACTATGTATAGAACTTTTTGAGGAACGTACAGATTTTTTCCTTATGACCTCCTACTGCCTCACTACAGAATTTACAAAAAATAAGACAAAAACACTAATAAACCGCAAATGTATATTATAGTATCGAACGCATTTCCAAAGTAAAGCTGTCATCACGAGGGGTTGATCACGTGGGAAATACTTGTCACTCACATAGGAAATTTCGAAGAAATAGCTGGGAATTATAGGAAAGGGCGAAATTAGAGGAACTTTAAAGGAAATTAAAAAGATTCTTTTTCTTTCGGCCTTGTGTGGTGTTGAAATGAAGATTTGTAGGGTGAGTAGGCTCAAAGGAAATATTAGACAATTTTTGGGGAAATAGGAAATTTCAAACGACTGAGGACATTGAAGGGAAACATTAGGAAATTTTGAGGTAATAAGAAAAATTTCCGAGGAAATTCCGAGAAAATCTAGAAGAAAACTTAGAGGGAAAGTCTGGTCCCTCGTTTAGGAAATTTCAAGAAAATAGCTGGGAAATATTAGGACGAAATTAGGACATTTTGTAGAAATATTAGAAATTTTTGGGGAAGTAGGAAGCAATTTCAAAGGAATGGGGATATTCTAGCTAAATATTAGGAAATCTTGAGGAAATACGAGGAATTTCCGAAGAAATTCTGAGAAAATGTTTAGGAAATTTCGTAGAGAGAAAATTGACGAAATTAGCACACATTCCGGGGAAATATTAAGAGATTTCGGGGAAATATGAGGTAATTTCAAAGTAATGAGGAAATTGTAGGGAAATATAAGGAATTTTCAGGAAATAAGATGAAAATCTTGAGGAAATTCTGGAGAAACCTAGAGCAAATTCTAAGGAAATAGGTACTTAACGTTACTCACTTCACGTTAATTCGGAGATATTTTATGTAAATTTGGGGAAATTTAGGGCAAGGCTAGAAATTAAGGGAAATGGCAATTTTTAAAAAACGTAGGAAACCTTTGTCCCCTAAAATAAGTCGTGTCAGTCATCATGTAACAGTGACCAATTCCAACCTTTTTTTACATACAACACCCTATTAATTAACCTTTTGGATTCGTTAAAATATTCTAGACATATTTCGTACTATATTCCTTCAATTGTTGCGGAAATACTGTTTTCATGTTTGGGGCAGAAATTAACTTAAAAAAAAAAAATTATGCAGTTAATGAAGTATAATACTAGCTACTGTCCAGCTAGCACACAACAATTTGCTAAAGCCAGGGAAATAAATATTGAGTTTGTTTTAGCGGACTTCTTTTTTTTGTATGTTAATTTTTGCAATATAACACGACTTCCTCGACTATTTCAATAGGTGCAGTGTGTCCCATTTTCGACACAACGTAATTGTTAGAGCTATCAAAAAAGGAATATAAACGTTACGTGTTGGGTCAAAATGGTAAAATTTTCTAATCTATCGATATTATATTTTTTGGAATTTGTTCATATTATATTAGAAGAAAGAATTTTGTGTAGGTAAAATTATATAGTGTTCCAAAAAATATGAGGTTAGGTCTATAACTTTTTTACCTCACCCCGTATACTTATTTTGAAAACGGAAAATTATTATAATAAACATCATCAAAAAATAATCATGTGATTTAAAAAAATTCAAAAAATTAAAAAACAGATTTTAAATTTTTTTAATTTGTTTAATCTTTTTTGAATCAATATTGAATTTTTTAATTTGTTAGTGTTATATTTTGAGGAGATAATTTAATATACTGTCTGTAGATTAAAATATACAGGGTGTTCCATTAAAAAAATGAGGTTAGGTAGGATTATAACTTTTTTGGCTGATCCCGTATACTAATTTTGAAAACGCCAAATTCATAATAGGTAATAATAGAGATAATAACATAATAATATCATTATAAAGAATCTTTTACGATAAACATGTTTCTGTATTTCTTTTAACTAAGAAAATAGACGGTCATTGTGAAATTGCCATTTTTTTATTTTCCTCCGTATCTGTTAAACTTAAACGAGCGAATATTTTCAAATTTTGATTTTACCATTTTAAGTTTGACCCAAAAAGAGCGCATGACGTCTACATTACTTTTTTGATAGCACTACAAATAATGGAGACATCCTGTACATAAAATATGTCTATAATGTATTTAAATTCCGAGAAAATTCTGAGAAAATCTAGAGGAAATTTTAAGGAAATAAATGGTATCTTCTGTAGGGAAGTAACCGGAAGTAACGTTAGTCATCGGAGAAATTTTGTGTTAATTTGGATAAATTTAAGACACTGCTAGAAATGTTGGGAAATTAAGTGAAATGGTGTAAATGTTTAGGCAATGAAGGAAATCTTCGTCCCCTAAAATGAGCGGTGACCAAACCCTGAGGGATTAATCACGAGGGAAATTCTTGTCCCTCGTACAGGAAATTTCCAGGAAATATCTGGGAAATATGTAAGAAAATGGACGAAATTAGAGGAAATTTTGGGAAATGCGATGCTAAGAAAATGTACATGAAATTTTAAGGAAATAAAAGGTTTCTAAAGGGCAGTAAACGAAGAAATTTGGGAAACTTAAGGCAGTATTAGAAATATGTTGGGGAAATGGTGGTAATTTTTAGGTAATGAAGGTAATCTTTGTCCCCTAAAATAAGTTGTAACCAACCCCCAGTGTCATCATCAGCGAACAAGTTGCGCGGAAACTAAATTCAAAATATTACAAAACCTAGCAATTTTGTCAAAATGCATAAAAATGTATTCATTCTATTGCTGTGGTCGAGTTAGAATAATAAATTTCCATCGGCGAGATGGAGTTGCAATCACTCTCAGGGTGAAAGCCCTCTTTGATATAATATAGATATGATCCTTTAGGCTATTCCCTACCTACTGTCAAAATTTCCTGGTCTAAGTAGCGAACTGAGATTCAGCTGATAGCTGTGCTTTTGAATTTTACATTGAAAGTTCCTTTCATTAGAATGAGGTTCGTTTTACTGTTACCAAAACCAAAATTGGCGAGGATCAGTACCGGAAATTTTACTTTGTGTCGACCGTGAGGTAAAAACGTGATGGAATAATACTCATCCCATCGCATTATAAACGATTGCATCATTGTTCTGGCAAAATGCAATGTCTAGGTAATTGTTTTAATTCTGCAAAACCATGCACCAAGTTGACATTGGAACGACGAACATCATGATGTGGCGTACCAATGTTTTCCAAGTGAAATCTATTGGGAAAAAATGATCCCATTTAAATTACGAATTCCTAATCCGAAAATCCCTTGGGGCCTGTATCTGTATGAGAAGTGTTGGTCACCTTGAACGGAGGCTTGTCTAAAGAGAGCGGGCACACTATGATGTCATGCTATTTGTAAAGAATTTCCTATATGTTTACTTTCTTATTTTTTACCAGATTCGATACTGAAAGGTTTTTCCTGGCGATAATAATCAATAAATCGCCACTGTGCAGATTATTATGTAAGTCGATGATCGACTTTAATTTGCAATTCCACAAGTTCTCGTACACATCCTTCTATTTATATTCCGCGATCATTATCATTGACAAAGTTGCTGTTATTTTTTATAGTTTTGACTATAAAATGAAAAGAAATGTACATACCTTCGCCATCAGTGGTGAGTGACCCTGGAAATGTATCTCGGCATACTAAAGGAACCTCACTTGGCGCTCGATCTGTAAACAGAAGAGTTTTAAAAATTAATAATAGACGAGGCCGGAACATTAATTTAGGCATCCTAAAAATAGACTGATCAAAATACCGATAGCAAAATTGTTTATTGCATAGGCTACAGGAGCGAGGCCCGATAATTGTTCCCATAACTTTTCGGCGAGAGCCAAAAATTTTCAGGACGAAGACAAACGTCGCGCCATTGGCGACGCCTGTACGCAATTCGCCGACTTTTTGAACATTCCTTCGCTAATAGATTTTATATTTTTTAAACAAGCCGCAAATTTATGACAGTTGACCAATAGACTGCCTCAATAACGAGCGCATTCCTAAAATGCTGACGACAGGTTAGAGAAACGCCGACGCGACGCGACGATGTCGACGGCACCTATAGCGCCGGGTTTCCCCTCCGATCCCGCGTCGCTGTTACCCCATTTACTAATACTATTAATTCACAACAAAACCGGGCCTCTAATATGTGAATACTGCATTGATTTATTGCTCTGGTCATTTCCAACTGGATCATACCTATATCCACGGGAACCCCGCCACCGCCCTGTGATGGTGCTCTAGAAAGAAAAAGGTCACTTTCATTTTCTTAGGGGCCTGTGTGATCGTTTTGCAAACAGTTTGCAATATCTTACAGGCACCCTGGTTTCTCCACGTTAGGAAACGTATAGACACAGAATCAATTGCTGGAATGGTGGCACACCGCTAGTATGGTTCTTCTTCGAGCAAGCATGTTAAAATTAATAGAGACGAAAGTTCTTAGGCCGTACATCAGAGAAAAAATTCTCTAAATTGTTAAATATTCCTGTTGGCCTTCGGATGATCATCTAAAAATAGGATACTCTCATCCAAAATCAATCAAAAATTTAACAAAACTACGTAAGATTTAACGGGCGATATAAAATTTAGCGAAAGAAAATAAAATTAAGTAAGTAATTTACTTGGTAATAATTTTGACTAAGAGAGGAAAGAGAATAAAGTCGGTCTCGGTTACAAATTGTCTATAAATGAAGTTAGCCTTGATGGGCGCCGTGCCCGAGAGACACGTGTGAATGAGTAAATGAAATTAACAATAAGATTCTGAGGCATCGTCTCGTTGCCTTCCGCATAATTAGCATACTCTCAACGGGGTTGGTACGAAAAAAAAGTATTGAATGAGACCGGCAACGAATGCCCTTTTTAGTGGCGTCAGTATATGGCGCCTGTCGCAGAAGGGGTCTGTTCAACACCTGATGGTTGTCGGCAAGGGATGATGATCTCAGGGGGAATTTCATTCAGCTTTCCTTTTGTTGTGTTAATCACGGTAGTCCCGAATACTTTTCGGGGGTTGGAAACATATGGCGGTCAATGAAAGCGGTAATGGTTTTATTATGGCGCTTATTATCTGGCGTCGACGCTTGAAATTGGTACAGCGCCAACGGAACGAATTACGATTTTTAAAAATCGAATTCAATAGAAAATGTTATTTACGTGAGGTAGTAAATAATGTAAATTAGATGCATTGTTGCCTTTGTCACATTTGGAATTTTAATATCGGAATCGAACAAAAGAAACGCCGAAAAGCTACTACGGGTCGTCTTTAATCGTAGCCATCTAAGGGGTTAGACGTCTAAATTAATAGTTCCATGAACTTTGAAATTCTTACGCAACAACCCGTTTATACCAGAATACCTACTAATGGTACTGTTAAAGAAACCACCCACGATATGCCAAGTTTCGTAACCGTTGTTTTGGTTTGAAAAGTGTCTTTTTTTGTGACTCGCTACGTGCTATTTTTTACACGCCTTTATAGAAACAAAGATCTCGATCTTAAAAACAATGAAGATGCATCCCCTAAACAATTCGAAACTTTCCAAATGGAACACAATCAGTTTAATCATTTACTTCGCAGGTAAAAACGAGCACAAAAGTTTTGAGTTTTCAAATCGTATTATCCGTAAAAATTAGTTACATATCTCTTCATTTGTTCTCCGATTGTTGTAGTATTCTCTGATAGTATTCGCGTTTCCTTGGCGAAATGCCAGCAAAAGATATAGATCAAGAGATTTTTTAATAAAACACTGAATAAAAGAATCAATGACTAATTTAAGCAGGGTGTCCGAACTAAGATTTACACAAGCATTTTTGCCTAGAAAAGATATCAGTTTCAGGGAATGATTTATTGGGGTTTAACCGCATCTGCATAAGAGATGAATTGGAGTGTAGCGGTCATTCCTTTTACGAGTTGTGGTAAACTTTGTGACTACCAGTTTCGTAATCTTATATTTGACAGTCACTTAATTAAATTATATACAGTGTGTCCCATTTATTTTGTGGCAGTCAATTATTGCGGGAATATCAAAAAATGATATATATAAAAATATTCCCCATTTAAAGATGCAATTAAGACTCAAGCGTCGGGCAACTTAATTTTTTCACATAGAAAGCTACACTTTTTATTGCATTATGCATATTCTTATTCTAGGTCGGAAAATAATAAACTTTTCTAAGAAACACCGTTCTTTTAAGACACTCTTCTAATCTTATTGCAATCCTAATCAGACGTAAATAGAATTTTTTTTCAATTCAGTATACTAAGGAATTGAATTACGAGAAAACGATGAATAAAACATTGAAGGTTGTGTGATCTAGTTTTAAACCTTTTTGGTACTTCCAGTGGCGTAACTTCATTTTAGAGGCCCGTCTACAAAAATATTTGGGGGCCCTTTCCTTATATCAGCAATTTTTAATCGATGTTAATCTGTATATGAAGAAAATAGTGCTGATTTTGCATTTTGTAATTCATTGGTTCACAGGTCCATTGTAAAATTTAGCGTCACTGCTTTCTGCGTTTAGTAAAAGTCCAGTTGATTTTTAATCGTCAAGCTTTGTGTAATATTTGTGCCATAACAAAAGGTAATACTGTACTTCATTTTAATTGTAATTGTTAATTTTATTGTGACTTGTATTGACTTCAGCTATTTGTAACTAGGAGTAGGTAACCCTTGAATTTGCTTATTATCTAATTGTTTCACTTTAAATGTTATTCATATTTTGATTTGTTTAATATTGGCCAGTTCCTTCGATGTGTAAACTCGTTTAGTTTGATTAGCGACTTCAATTGTTTGTGTATGAATCTGCCTTTGTTTAATGTCTTTAACTGTTTCGTTCGTGCAGAGGTAAATGCTGGAGTGTTAAAATTACTTCGCGGAATTCATCTCGAAATACAACTAAGGTTACCGTATCCAGGACCTCCAGATACCTTCTGGATTGGAGAAGGTCCCGCTAATTATCAAAGTATTTCATTTACTGTATGTAAAAAATTTGGGAATGTAAATGTGCGCTTTACTTAAATTGAATCATTTCCAATAAGCATAGCATGTGCACGTCTGTACAGGGTGGTTACGAAGTAATGGGACAAGACTTTCTGGTTGAAACGTTACGAGATATGAATTTCAAGTTTGGAGGACTTCAATGAGACACTGTTATGCATGTTTTGGAATGAAAAGAAAATTCTTCATTACCCAATTTTGAGGGCTGTCGCCATTTTGAATTTTTTTTAAGACAACCGTGGTCATGCGACATTGCGACACATGATTGGAAAGCGTTTTGTTTTCCCGTTCGAGTGATTGGATTTGTTTGGAAAAATGGAAAAAATGTAAATGGCCCATTAACAAAATTGAAGATGGCGGCCGCCCTCAAAATTCGGGTTTCGAATGAGTCTAAGAAGTATAGTGTGTGTTAGGGTACCAAAAACTCAACCAAAAGCAACTACCTATAATCATTATTAAACGACTAGGGGACGACAGCTATTTTTTTGCTCCTTAAGGGGGGCGAGGTTCAAAAACCTTGCTTGTGATGGGTAGCAGACACCTCCAGATGGATCCATCTTAATGTTAATCCAAACATTGTTTTGGGTTTGATACCGATGGGATATGTTTTTAATAATTCTCCAGAGGGACCATGAAACACCGTTTCCCTTAGGAGATAACCCCTCTCCCATAGTTGATCGTAGGTTTATGTGGTAAGTTGTCACTTCAAAAAGGTCCTTGACCACTAACCGCTAAAAAATTCTTATTTCACCATATAATTGTCCCACCATTGCCATAATCTCTGGGCAGAGGTGTTCCTGTCAAACACTATCCCTTCGATAATCCCATGGCAAAACCATAGCGTAAAGAACATGGCAAGACAGAATCATGTTGGTTTCACCAAAATTTGATTGCTCTTAATTAACCCAAATTAGACTAACTGAACGAAAGTGTTTGACTTTCATTTCAATAAATTAAATGGCCTAGTCAAAGCGTCCTCCCTAGAAAAATCGAAACAAATCACAAGTGATGAATGTTTATAGCTCGTCATAATTATCGTCGGCATTATAAAATCTGATACCATCACCCATTATACATTTTATTTTTTCCTAAATTGCTTTCTCTTATTACCAACAGCCCACAACAAACAACTCTTACGGTAAAAGGAGTGACAAATTTGGTTGCGTTATTTATTGCAAAACCAGTCGCGTTACAATCCGACAGGTGCCTGTGGGGTTGTAGGTCAAAAATCTCCTATTGAATGAATTTCTTAATAGTCAGGGTCGGCCAAGATCATTGTTTTCGTAAGCGTTTTGAACCGTTTAACGCGTTCGAAACCGCACCTTAACTACTACCATGTACGATTGTGAATGTACCACCTTCTTGTGTCGATTGTGGGATGATGATGGTAGTTGTTCCACGACACTTTCATTATGTGTAGGTTTACGAGTTCATTCTTAAACAAATGTTATTTACAATCGAAAATCTAACAAGTTACGAAAATTTATTGTCAGACCGTTACAGCATCAGAATAGGACACTTGTTGCACGTTGAATAGTAGATCTGATTTCCTACACGTTCTTGCGTAACGCGTCTCTTCTTTTCATTTATTGCTATAATATACGTCTTGTTAATAGTAGCTTCAATTTCCTTTAATCAGATTCGGGAAAAGTGAGCTTCTATCTTAATTGCTTTTTCGGACTATT